AAGGTTGCCACGCGCACCCGTGGCCATGCACGCAGAAGTGTTGAATAGATTTCGAACGAGGCGGTAGACGTGCCTCCGCCCTCCGCGCCCAGGCGGCGCGCGGGTTCGGCTCACGGGGCAGAATCCGAGTCGCGCAACTTGCGCGAACCATGCCTTGAAGGCGTGACGGCGGCGAGTGGTTCGAGCGGGAAGGAGGCCGTCGACGAACGCGGCGCGTCGCTCGTGCCGGGTGGCTTGCACGTCGAGCTGGTGCGCCCGCGCCAGATGGAGGGCTGGGGGAGGTGAGGGCGCAGGAGAGGGCGGAGGAGGGCGCAGGAAAGCGGGTGGAGGAGTGCGCGGAGGGTGGACGGGAGGGTCACGGCGAGAGCAGGCTGGAGCACGACAGAAGGTGGGGCTGTGTTCGGATGGCAGGGGTCCATACGCGTGTAGCGGGGGTCCATGCGAGTGTGGCGGAGAAGTGGGAGTCTCCCGCTGCAGCGGCGCCGAACGCGACCGGAGCGGAGGGGGGAACGCCGCCGCCGACGAGCTCCGAGGTTCGCGGCACGCGCGGCGGCGACAAGCTCGAGGCGGCAGGGAAGAAGAAGCGGGTGGGCGTGGGCGAATTCCGCGGGGCGTGCAGCGGCACGGGGGACGGGTTGCTGGGTGGGCAGAACTTGACGCGCGTGAGCTACAAGGTGTCAAAGATCATGGAGCTGTTCGGCTTCGCGTCGGCGACGGATTCGCCGGCCGGGGCGCACGCTGAGTGTATGCGCGACTTAGTGTGGCTCATGGCGTACGACGCGCCGCTCTACCGGTAGGTGGCCGTGGACAGCGACGAGAAGGGGCTCGCCAGGGCAAGGCAGGGGACGAGCGAGGTAGTGGACGGAGAGTACGTGGTGGGTTACGTGAAGGACGAGATGCCCAGGCGCACGGAGGTGGTGCTGCACTGGACGGAGCTGGACGGGAGTAAGCGGGATGCGCGCAGTCAGGAGTACGTGAGTTTTGTGGCTCGGGTGATGAGGACGGCGACGACGAAGGGGTGTGAGTACTTTGTGACCGGGCAGTTCCCGCGGCTGAACGGGCCCAGCCCGTTATTCTGGAAGGGGAAGTGGAGGTTTGTCGGGACGGACGAGGAGAAGCCGTTCTTGCGGGCTACGCGATGCTGCAGCAGGGGCAGTTGAGAGCAAGCTGGAGTGGATGGAGGAGAGCGCACAGAAAAAATTGAAGCGCGAGCAGGAGCGGTTGCGGACGGAGACGGCAGAGGGGAGGTTGGGCGGCCGAGCAGGCGCAGAAGGCGTCGGTAGCGATGGGGAAGCTGAAGCGCGAGGCGGAGGAGGCGGAGCGGAAGCGGCTGCAGGAGGTCAAGAAGAAGGAGAGGGAGTGGAAAACAGTGGAACGGATGCAGCAGGAGAAATTGGAGGCGATGGGCGCGGCCGTCCAAGAGGCGCTGGAGAAGAAGCAGCGGGAGGGGCGGGTGATGAACACGAGCAGCGTGAGGTTGGAACGCAATGGGCGCGGCGAAGTAACGCTTACGACTGTGTCGACCGTGGGGGTGGAGAAGAAGCGCGGGCGTAAGAGCGGTAAAAAGTACGGTACTTAGAGCATCTCCACCCATGCCACCTAAAACGTAAAACGATTTTTTTTGGGGGCCACCTGGTGTTTTTAATCTCCACCGGCACGGACCAAACCCACTGGGTGGAGGGGTGCGCTCCCAAATTTTTTGTTTGGTCCAATTCCAGACCTAAAATGGAAAACTTTGGGCTACCATGACACCCAAACCTAATCGTTGGGGGCCATTTCTTGCTTCAATAAAACAAATTTAAAATAGGTTGACCTCGGCCGACTTTGTGGACTTCGTGGATCACGAGTTCTGTGTCCGATCACTGCAAGTAGCAAACTTTCGAGAGAAGCTGCAGCACAGCGCTCGCTATACTTTATTTCTTTCGCCGACGTTCTCGACAGACGGCATCAAAACTCAAGACTCATCCCCTCGGGCGCATGAACCCACAATCTTTCCCATCTTTTATTGGAATACAGCTCGAATACACCTCTTGAGACACAACATGTCCACCCGGTCACCTGCGAATGCTAAGGGAAAGGGTCTATCGTGGTCGGATGAGGAGCTTTTGGCCCTTTGTAAGGCAGCTTTCGTGGCCGGAGGCTCGCCTATTTACGGCGCAGGGATGAAGTCAGCGGTATACAGCAAGAAAATAACGGAGGAGTTCCTGAAGGACAATAATAAGCCGCCGCTTGCCTGCTCCGGTGGTCGAAATGGAGGACCGCCAGATGAACGTCGTTGGAACCGGCGAACGCGTGAGTGTTGTTTAAAGATGTGGAGCAAAGTTAAATCACTCTGTACTGCTTACCATGACGCCGTGAAAAGAATCAACTCTATGAGCATGACTGTGGCGCCAGGAACGGCTGAGGTCGAGAGATGTGTGGTTGCTGTTGATAATGACAGAGACCTCACGTCTCATGTGTATGACATTATCCGTAACCCAAAATACAGAATCGGCAGACCGTTCCCATACAAGATTTGTTATGACTTTTTATCCTCCCACACCAGTATGTTGGAAAGTGGAGGCGTTACGGATAATAGAGATGTTGAAACGCCGGCAAATCAGAGTCCAGGAGATGGGGAGGCGGATGAGTCCGGCATTCAAACGGATGCTTGTATTGATACAGCTGCTGTCGAGAGGCGTGACAAACGTCCTATTGTGAGGAAGGCCGCTAAGAGGATCAAGCAAAACGAAGCGAATGGGAAAAGTTCCATGGAATCAAGTGCAAGTAGGATGGCACAGTCCGTAGAAAACTTCAATGAAGTTTACAGTGCCGCCCAGGAGCGCAAAGCGACAACGAAGGAGCGCGAACTGTTAATTGCAAAGAGGAGGTTGGACTGGAATATGGCTGAATCTCTACTTTTTGCGAAGGATTCTGATGCAACTGACGAGGAACGGATGATGGGTAAGCAGCTGCTGCGCAAACGGCTTTTAATGTTA